TTTTTTAGAATTAAATAGGAAGATCTTTCATATATTTTGGTAAATCTGAAGATCTTCATATAGTTTTATATAATATTATGAATTACCTTGAAATCAATGACATAAAAAGCAACTTGTCTAACTTTTCAATCGATGTTGTTACATAATTGATAATGTCATTGGAAATATCAGTGATTATAATAAATGTAATTCAATAATGATTAGCTTCTATTCAGTGTATTTATTTTGACAGAAATGAAATTAAATGTATTCAAATTTTTAAGTTAAAAATCGATCATTCTTTGCTGAAATACTAACTTATAAAATTTTCAATATCAAGCATTGTGAATAATAATTAATAAGTTATCAATATCATGAAATGAACTTATAATTCCTTATATGTATCGTTCTCATTTATCTATTTTTTTTAATCTTTAAAAATTTAAAAAATAACAGTCATATGATTAGTCTCTAATAATTCGACTATCAGATGGCAAACCAATAGCAGTTGCTTTCAAAGTCACTGGCAGAAAATTTCGTGATTGATTATATAAAGTATCTTGTTGTTGAGGAATATAACGATGTTTTATCTTCTTTCGATTAATACGTTGTGGTAATGAATATTTAGTCGTAGTTGTTATGGATGGTTTATTTTCAATAGATACTATTTCAGGGATAGTTGTACGTCGAATTGTATGACATCTTGATGTATTTGAATCTCGTATTGATAAACGTGTACTAGTTTCACTAATTGAACGCCGATTACTATCCGTTATTGTTAATGTTGGTGAAGGTGATGCTGGTAACTGAATCATAGGAAGTGAAGGTATGGTTGTTTTTATTTGAGGTTGTTCTTTAATTTTAGAATTTGTGTCTTGTGTTTCAAGAAGACGAAAACGAAGATTATAATTAGAAAATCGAAATGTTTTTTTTCCTGTTTCATCAATTGATTTTTCACATGCTTTATCAATACTTTGAACTGTTTCATTAATATGTGATTTATATGGACGTTGAATAATTGGTGGTAGGATTGTTGGTTGTTGTATAATTTCTTCATCATCTATATTCATAGTAGGTGATTGTAGATTTTCTTTTTCATCATTTGATTCGAATAATGAGTCTTTATTATGTTCTTTAACACGTTTTAAATACGTTTCATGAATAATGTCAAGTCGTTTTTGAAGACGTTTACGTAGATATCGTTTAATATTTGGTGTCACTTCTTCATTTGTTATATCAATTAAATCAACTAGTTCCATCATACCTTTTTCATATGCTAAATCTCGGCATGAAAATGTTCGTTCTCGAATTGGATTGTTTGTACGAAAACGAAATTCATGAAGATCAGCTGCATATTTGACATTAACTTCTAATTGATCAATAAGATATTCAGCTACTTCATGACGTTGTCGTCGAATAGCTGCCATAAGAAGAGATTCAGTAAACTAAATTAATTATAATAAATTATATTTAATTATTGATAAAATCAATGAAAAATTTCGAATGACAAAATTTGCAAAAGAACTTAAAAGACGACAAAAAAGTAAAATTATGAAATCGATTTCTAATTAGAGGACATGTTAAATACAAATACACTAAGGTACTCGCACTTTGAAATTTTCGACTATTTGTTTCACATGGGTGAAAAGAACACATCCCAATCGTTCAGAAAATCCCAGTTTGCGAAATTTTTTTAAAAGTGAAATTCCAATAAAATTTAATAAAATATAGAGTTTCAAATATCATTAAAAAAAGTAGCTCTTTTTCATCCATACATTAATATATTTCTTATTTGTTTTGTAGAAGTTTTTTAAAGATTGTCTTCTGGTGCTCCATGTGAAATTGATTAGGAAAAATTAATTTTAAAAATTTATTTTTCCTAAGCAATTTCACATGGAGCATCAGAAAACAATCTTTAAAAAGCTTCTACAAAACAAATAAGAAATATATTCATGTATGGATGAAAAGGAGCTACTGTTTTAATGATATTTGGAACTCTGTGTTTTATCAAAGCTTCTTTTGATTTTCGTTTTTAAAGTATCCGTAGACCACTTTTTTCTAGGCAAGCTAACATGCTCCTTCTACCTATGTACAAAAAAGTTTGCAAAAATTTTGAACTGCAAGTACATTATGTGTCAATATTCGTAATTTAAAATTCAATAAATAACATATTTTTGCTGTTACTCGAAATACAAAAGTTCTCCTATAGTATATTACTGCAACAATGATTTTGTGTTATTCTGAAGATGTATTTAAATGAAATTTCTCTAACCATGAAGTATTAATGCTTTGATTAGTTTCAAAATTCTTGTTTTCTTACGCGTGTCATATTAGGATCAGCATTCTTTTTTTCATTAAACAATCGTTCCAATCGTTCAATTGAACCATCTTCAGTTGCTTGAAAAAATTCCTATAATATTTATATATGTTTTCATTCATTATTTACAAATTTATATTTAACCTCGATTTGTTCCGGAGTAAGTGAACTTGTTTCTGAATCAATGCCTGTTGACGAATTTCTATCTTGTCGCTTTAATTGATAGTTAGAAAAAGAAACAAAAAAAAGAGAATAAACTGAATACATTCAAAATAGATAACATACAAATTTATCTAACTTGTGTTCTGCTTTGCTGATAGTTGGTTTTCTTCTTCCATTAACTAACAGATTTTAAGTAACATTCATTAAAAAGTTGATTACTATCTTACCATTCATTGGAAATTTATAAACACTCATTTAACTAACAATGCATGTCATTGACTTGCTATACTTTTCATAAACACATTGCTTGTCACTCAGGCTACACTCTTATATTCTCCTGGCCGTAATCGAACAAAGCAAATAATAGAAAAAAAACTGTTGTCGTTTATACATTTCACATCCTTTCTCTTTTACATTTAAAATATAAATTAACAAAATAAAAAAAAAGAAATTATTCCTGTAGGCTATAAATGAAAAAAAATCTTCGAAACGTACGATTCTTTTCACCTTTCAAACACAAAAAAAAACGTCATGCTCGCATACGAACATTATAGAACAAGTCATTTGCAATAGTAAATTTTGCACTGTAATTTATTGCCATGCTCATCTATATTACTGATTCAAGTCGTTCCACTTTTTATTAATAGAAACAAAATATTTCGTTAGATATCCAAAATAAATAGTTAATATGAGAATCTTTACCGTTTATTTAACGATCAAAAGGTAACGGTCGATTGGACTCGAATCTTACGAGGTCTAATGTACACGTTATTGATTTGTGACCTATTGAAGATAATTTTATAGTTATAATTCCTCAAGTTACTTCTGCTTATCCAGATATTTAGAAAATATTTTACACTACACATACTCATACACAAATTATAAATGAAATTCCAAAAGAGACATATATTAGTTTTGCTAAAGAGGAATTATTCCAATTGTATGCGTCCTTGTTAGACATGTTCTAAACATTGTACATGGATATAATCATTACATTCAACGCAGTTCGGGTATTTTATACACATAAATCAATTTTATTGTGAATGTATACTTTATATAATAGTTTTGCCGTGTTGAATGTCTGTAAATGAGATTTCATTTTATAGACAGTGAAGTTTTACTTTGAATAACTAGCATACATGTTGATGTGTTTGATTCACATAAGTGCCATTAAATACTAGAAAAATCTGTTAAAGAAAATTCAATACTTTAGTATCAAAAACATTGCTTTTACAGCACAGTAAGTTTTTGTTTATATGTAAACGACATTTTTTTTTTCTGCAAATAAATGAAACTTTCAAAGAGAAACATTGTTTTTATGTTGTTTGATGACTCAAAGTAACTGTATTTTGCCTTTGGATGCAGAATAATTATCTTTGCGAATATCAGATGAATTTTAATCTTTTTTTTTTCTTGAAAGAGTTAATTTAGAAGGATAACAGAAAAATATAGTTTTTATATTTTCATGTTGAAAAACTTGTATCTTTTAATTAGTTAAATTAGTACGTGTTACTTTAGAACTCACAATGAAATAAATGAGTACAATTTTTGAGAAGTCCTTTCGTGTGAGATTTTTGTTCTACACCATACAAGGTTTTGATATTTATGAATCGCTTGTTCGTTGCAACCAAGTAAAAGTTTGAAAATTAACGTTGACTCAAGTGCTATATGGTGAGAACAAACTTTGGGCACGATGTGACCTTTCGATAGTTAAGAATTTCAAACTAATCCATTTCATTGTGAGTTTCAAAATAACAAATGCTAAAATAATTAGTTGAAAAATGTCATACTGTAGAGAAATAAACGGCGTATCTTTTAAAAAACAAAGCTCCTTTGATGGTTTAATGTCATCATAATGCATAAAAAATACTCAAAAGTCTACTCCTTATGACTCGTACGTTGCAAAAAAATAAAATAAAATGATATTAGTATGATCAATAATTTCTTTTTTTGTTATCACGTACAGTATTAGAACTGTGCCGCTTGGAAACTTTTACGATACTGTGAGAAGAGAGACAATAACGTATATTAAAAATGCCACAACCTACTCAACGAGACCTTAATAATAGGAATGCATGATTTCGAATCAGAATCAGAACCAATGAGTCCATATTATAAAAAGAAAACGAAAACTAACGCTTGTGGCACCATCCTAAAAACGAAAGACCTAGTGTCAATCCAAATATATCCTCCTTTGCAGGTGTCTAATCATATAACATTTTTCAAAGAACAATGCATGATAAGTAAATTTCCAGCTTTATAAAATTAAAGTAACAAAATAACTGCGAAAAGCCTTTAGCACAATAAAATTAACAATAAATTTAATTGTTTTGTCATTCAAGATAAATGATTCATTTTTGACTTATGCTTCATCTTCACATTGAAATGACTTTGCCCAAATTTAACTATACAGATGTCATAATTAGAACTTGCAGAAGTTATTTCAATGGTTGACTCAAAATTAATTTATGGTTTCTTTTCTTTTTTTTTATAATAAATTAAGATTATATTAATATCACAAAGAAAAATAGAAAAAAAAAATTTATGAATCATCAAGTTCTTCATTGTCTGATACTGGTAATTTATTGCATTTAATTGCTTTACGACGACGATTTGATGAAGTGTTTTGTTTTTTTAACATTGGTACATTTTCAACATTATTCTTGTCATCTTCATTATCATCATCATCATATTCCAATGTTCGCTTTTTTCTTTGAATAGGTTTTACAACTGGTTCTTTATTTGTAACCGCATGTAATTTAGATCGTGGTTCTAGAAAATATTATAAATAGAATAAAACTAATCGAAATCTAACACGAGTATTTTTTATGTAAAAGAGCACCCAGGTTAAATGAGCAAATCTTTTATGATTCATATCTGCTCTTATACACGATCTTTTAAGAATCAGACGCAAACGTATGAGAAATCTTGGTCTGTGCAAAACTTACATCAAATCTTGGCGTCTGATTCTTACTAGATATTATATGGTCTTTTGAAAAGATCATATAGAATTGTATGACAAGACTTGATGTAAGTTTTGCAGAGGTCATAATTTCATCTAATATGCAAGATTTTATGTACAAACTTTTTGATCTAGGCAAGTTTTTTTTGCCTAAAAATCATTAACAAAAAAAAATGAATATTTCTTTGAAACTTTATCGATGCACGAAAAAAAGACTATCATACATATATATAAAAATTAACATGAATCATGATTATTGAAAAGTTTCACTCAAATCAATAAAATACACCATCTCATTTTGTGAGTATGAAAGCATAAGTTTTAGAGTAAGAGCTACTGACTAGTCTGACTCGGAATAGTTGTAGGTCAGGCTAAAAACCACAAAGAAGCCTATAGATCAAGCTAGGTCAATCGATCTTTGTGATTTTTGAAATATGTTCAATTCAATAATTCTGCATTAGTATCCCATTCTAATTTTAAAACTACTTAATTTATTTCCCTAAAGCTAAGATAATAAGGGTATAGAGATAAACACTGCGACTTCCGCTCCCCTCGCATCACAGACAGTATATCAATAATGTCTCGTTGTAATATATGAACTATTTCCTTAGTGCATTTCTGATGGATATTAAGTAAAAGTATGGGCAACAACATGTGTCCCAAAATAGAGAGAATAAAACAATCTCTCTGTGATTAGCAACGACAACTAAATCGTGCTTTAAATTTTAGTCTCAAAGAAAGAATAAAGTTGTCAAAACACTTTCAAATAACAAGGCAATGCATCAATGTGTCATAGCCAAAATGCATGCATCAGACTAGTAATTTCGGTCTGGCAGATACTTGTCAGGTTGGCAACTGTATGTTGAATTCAAGTAATTTCTGATAATAAATCTGATCTATTGATCAGACGTTTAGTTGATTCAAAAGTTTTCGCACATTAATTTTTAATGATTGTCATCATCGAGAAGTTCGATTAAATATTCTCTAATAATCAATAATCTAAATTTCTCATAGAATATGAATATCCTTCAATATATATATATATATTTTTTCTTTAAATAAAATATTTTCATTCGATTTTCAGTACGAAAGGTTGTTTATGATACTTGCAAAAAAAAAATATTTTAATTCATCATACCTTTAACTGTAGATGTTGATGATTTCTTTTTAGTTATTTGTTTTTCATTTTTCTTATTCGTAAATGATGTTATATTTTTACTATGTTCAACAATATCAAGAAAAATTTGACATTTTTCATTTTTAACATTTTGAGATCGTGGTCCTAATTTAATATAACAAATAGTTGCGTAAGATGTAAAACGAAAATTTTCTTTTAAATATTGATCAATAATTAATTGTAAAATAAGTCTTTGTAAATCAAGTTTAGTCATTGTTTTTATTGCTAATTTTTCAATTAATTTAAGTGCTGTTAAACGTTCTTTTTTATTATCCATTAAATAATTAATTATAATTAAAGCTTCTTCACGACAATTTCTTTTTGTTATTGTTGTTGATGATCGTGTACAGATATCACACATTTGATTACAATCATTTGATTGCCATACTTCATCAAAATATTTTGAAATTAATTTTCGACGACATTGAGATTCATTCAGACAATATGATATCATAGAATAAAGATTTTTAAGACCATTTCCTGATTTATCTGAAAATGCCATTGGTGCTAAACGAAAAACATCAGAAAATCTTAAATGAAAACAAAAATATTTTTTATTTAAAATAAAAGAAAATATTTGTTCTACCGAAAAAAAAGAATACAATGTGATTGTTGATCATCACGTCCAGCACGACCACTTTCTTGATAAAAATTTTCAATTGATTTGCTTAAAGAATGATGAATAACAAAACGTACATCAGGTTTATCTATACCCATGCCTATAAATATCATTCGAAAAATAAATTAAAACATATTTTAATTCATTAAACAGACCAAAAGCAATTGTTGCACAAATAACATGAACTTGATTCTGTAACCATTTTTCATGTACTTGTGTTCGAGCTTCAGATGAAAGACCAGCATGGTAACAACCAGCTTTAATATCTATAAAAATTGATTTACTGTTAAGTTTGGTTTGAACAAGTTCAATGAATTCTGATTGTTTACAAGTTTTCTTTTTAGGAAACATGATCTAGAGATGCACACGGTAAGCTTGTTTAGTACTGTTCTGTAATTTGACTAACGAAGGAACTCATACAACTGATAACCTCTGTTTGAGCTCATATTTTACTCATAGATAAGACTCATATAGTAGATAAAAATGCTGAAAGAGTTCAGGATATTAGGCGTCTTTTGTTGAGTTATTGTCATTTCACTGAACATTCCACCTATTGCAAGGTATTACAAAAAAAATTGCAACAGAGAGTTTCGCCTACAACAAATTACAATAAAAATATTGTCACTTGATTATAATCTAGTTTTTAGTCATTAATTTTGATATTTTTTAAAACCTTCCTAATCGATGAAAAAGAATTATCAGTATGAAATAATTAATTAAAACTTATGAATGAATTTTAATCGATCAGAGTTCTGAAGAAAATCCTGAAAATTAGAAAAAAAAAACTAAAATATACGTTTAAAATCGGATAAAAGAAAACCATTTTAATCCAATTTACAGTCATTTTTTATACTTGGTAAATATTCTTTTATAATGATCTAAACAATATATGAGCATTGGATATAAAAACGATCAAAACTGGTCATTAGGCGATCAACACGTTCTATAATTGAGCTCAATTTATATGCCTTCAGAGCATCCTGCCCTGTCCTCTCTGATATATAATCAAAGATAGAATACATACCGTTTCGTTGTAATTCAACACATACATCTTCGGCATCTTTTTGTGATAAACAATAAACAATACCTTTGTTGTTTTAAAATAGAACAATAAGAATATTAGTTTTATTTTTAATGATTTATTATTTTTACCTGATTGTTCATCAAATCGTTGTTGAATACAATTTACAAGATCACTTAAAGCATCTTTTCCAACATTAGATTTGTGATGCACTTCATAGAAAAGATTTTTTCTATTAAATGGTGCTCGAAATAAAATACAATTTGGAATTTGAAGTATTTTTCGAATATCATAAATCACTTTTAATGTTGCTGTAGCTGTTAAACCCAAAATAGATATATTTGGAAATTGACGTTTAAATATTGATAAATATTTATAATCTAAAAAACAATTATATTTGTCTTATTTTGAAATTAAATCAATATAATATTAAACTACCTGGTCGAAAATCATGTCCAAATTGTGAAACACAATGAACTTCATCAACAATTAATTTTGAAAATCTTTTTGTTTCATATAGTTTTTGTAATTTTGCCATGATTCTTTTATTTTTAGCAAGTTTTTCTGTAAGAAAAAAAAAAATAGTATTCAAATAAATTAAGATCTTTTTGTCTATATTGAATACCATACCTGGTGTTAAATAAAGAATTTTTAATGTTGATGTACCATTACTTTTTCCATCAAGAATTTGCATTATTTCTGTTTGTTCTTCCTGTGGTGTTGATGTATTAAGTGCACGAGCATCGATATTCAAATTTCGAAGAGCATAAATTTGATCTTCAACTAAAGATATTAATGGTGAAACAACAATTGTTATTCCTAAAAAACACAAGTGAAAATTTCTTAGTTTGACAAATAATTGATTTTTCAATAATTATTACCATCAGAAACGATAGCTGGTAATTGATAACATAAAGATTTACCACCACCTGTTGGCATAATTAATATACAATCATAACCTGAAAGTGTTACATTAATTGTTTCAAGTTGCCATGGTCGAAATGAATTTATTTGAAATATTTCTGTACGCATTTCGTTTACTTTTGAACTCCAAGGAAAATCTAAGAAAAAAATAAAAATAAAATTATTTGTGATATAATCTCTTTTGAAATACCCGTTCGTTGCCATTGTTCATTGACATTATTTATTGTTATATGTTGATTTCGTTTAATTGCTTCTTTCAATTTTTGTTGTCGTTGAATTAAGTTACCACGTTGTTGACGAAGTCGACTTATTTGTTCATCGATTTCACTTATTTCTAATTCAATAGCAACTAATTCAACATCATCATTTGTAGTGATTGGACTGCAAAACGAAATAAATAAAAGTCAATTGAAACAGTGAAATTTTACTTGTTAATTTGTTCGAATTGTCTAGCAGTAGTAACCGAATTTTTGTTTTCATTTTCTTCATCAGATAGTACAATACAGTCCATTGTATATAAATATATATACAATATGAAGACTTGGTCTATTTCAATTAAATGGAAAATATACTAGTGAATGAATCACATATGAATACAAAGAAAAATAACTAGTGTTAGAAAACATCTATAAAGAGGACAGATACATGAATAAAATAAACATGGCTTTTAAGATAAAGTCATTTTGATTCTTAATCTCTTTTGAATTGTAATTTATCATTAGTATCTTCTCAAATGCTTCTACACAATACACACAACTACTAAACTCAGCAAATAAAGTTTAAGATATTTTTTATTTTTTGTTGTTTTCGATTAAAGACCATATTTGTAATATACATTCAAATTATGATTTTGATAATTTTCGAAACGAGCTACACATCTATTATATCGAAAAAATTAACGGTTTACTGGTTCTATAGAATCCAACGAACTACAATTTGTTATAAATACTTTAAAAAAACTATCAGCTATAATTAATATTTATAAAACAAATTTTGATCACAACTATCGTTGCTGAGATACACAACAAAGAAAAGCATCAAAAATTAAATAAAACTGCTTGTTTTGTTTTACTTAAAACAGCTGGTCTTTTTTTTGGATTTTTTAATCACTATTTAGAACTTAATTAGTACTGAATTGGTAATTGAAACTATTGAGCTTCACGATGAATCTTGACAGTTTTAAAAGCTGTGAATTTTATAAAGCAGAGTTTGTACTATCAAACGACAACTGGTGACTCTCTGTACAATGTGCTATTCACGAGATATAGGGCATTGAAGATAACCTAGGCAAAACAAGATGAAAATAGCTAGAAAAGCCATCGCTGAAATTACTAATAAAAATTGAAAACATTGCTTCATTTGAAGATTTCATTCTAAAAAAAAGCCTGCTAGGTCGCGTTTGATAGAACAAACTCTGCTCTACGAAATATACGAATGTTCAAAGTTCTCAAGCTTAATCTTAAAGCTCAATTTTCTCAATTATTAATATAGTATTAATAAAACTGTAGAAGAATACCTGAAAAATTTTATTAAGACTAACTATTGTAAAACAAAAAAATACGCAGTTGTGTTTTGTATTTCATGCTCTTTCTTATGATGTACTTCAACATCGAAAATTATCACTTAATTTTTCTATACCGTTAATTAATACTCATAAATATTTAACTATCATAATCAACGGTTTTTCTAAAATATAACAAAATGTAACTCGTTGAATTTTGAATCTAATGTTAGATTTTTGAAAGTTTTTTTTTCTGACTTTAATTCATCTGTAACATTGGGTTTTCAGAGATGGAACAGATTAATGTATGATCAAATCAATTAGTGAATAGTGTATATGTATCTGCAGAAATACTACATATTCATTCTAAAATATTATTTCCTAAGTCAATATCAGTGAACTGCAACTTTTTGGTACGATTGTCATGAAAAACTAAAAGTAGACCTCAACAATTTGCGAGTCGCATATTTAACTATACTGAATGTTTATGCTAAGCGACCAAACTTTCGCACCACTTTATCGAATATAAAAAGAAATATCCGTTGTATTGTTTAATTTCTGCTGAATGCATTAATAAATTGACTTTACTCATTGAAAAGGTCCTAGTTATTTTCAGCTGTATGAAAGAATATTTTCGAATGACTTGGAATGGAAATATTTGCTGGAAAATCATCACTCTACATTTTATAGAATGATGTGAGCTGCTCATAATCAGTACAGGATCCAGAACTGATATTATCATCAACAACAGAGCCCTCTATTTTACATCTACTGAGAAAAAATTGAGCCAAATCGAACATATCATTGAAGAGTTATAAAGCAGATAATTTTCAAAAAGTGACTCTATAAAATGAGTCTAACGATTTTTTTATCAAGAAGTTCTGTTATCTTTTTTCTGTAGCATAGCTATTAAGAGAGAACTTTTTCTCAACCGTTTGTTACTGAAGGATTTCTCTTTGCTTTCATATAATTTGCGCACTAACACCTATATCACATGCAGAACTAGAATTAAATTGATGTCACTCTACATGAAAACATACAAGTGTCTATGAGACATTGTAAACATGGCACGAAGAAATGGAGAAAACATGATATTTAAGTCAGTTATATATTCGTTGTTTTTCACCACTACTTAACTGTATACCACGTTCACTAACAAGTGTTTCATATTTCTAAACAAGAAGGTATGGTAATACATATGGATAATGGTGATATTTGGAGCAAACATTTGGCAATTGCATGATGAAATTATGTGCATTTGCTTCTCGTGCTGCTTGTTCGATTTCTGCTAGTGTTGCATTTATTTTACCAAAGCGCATATTTTCATGATTACTCATGCCAAATAGAATCTATTGCAATAGTTAATTAAGTAGAAAGAGAGAAAATAAAAACGAAAACAAAACATACAGATTCTTGACTGACAACGTCAATGTTCTGCCGAAGTTATTTGACATTGTAATCTGTTATTGGTCGACCATCAGTCGTTATTTGACCAGATGAAGGTTCAAAGTAACGAAGAAAATTGATATACAGGTACTTTTTCCTATGAACAAATCATGAATACAAACGAGATCGTTTTAACTTTTCTGTTTTGGAAAAGACGTACCACTGCCACTTGAACCTACAAGAACAGTTGTCTGACCAGCACGAGCAACAAAAGGGAGTTTACGTGGAATTGGCATATATTTACGAAACGGATAAATAAAGTTAACATTATCAAATTCAATATCACAATTGATATTATAAATGATTCTGTATTCTCTTTCCATACATCTGTTTCATTGCTATTTGTGCCATTTCTCTATATTATGTCAAAACAAATACAAAACATAACCATTGATGTGAAACCTCACTTTATCCAGAATTAACCCATCAATAAGTCGAAACATGAGTGCTGCTTAGTGCCCGGTGTGATCAGCTTTTCTAGTCACGGCCCATCTTTTTGGTTCCTCAAGATGAAAAAGCTTTCCAGAAAGTTCTGGCCACCGTTTGCGAAGTTTTAACAAAATAGGAATTCTTTGAGGATCAAGTTTGTCTAAAATATAGGGTTTTCGATAAAAAATAACGAAAATATAGGATTGATTATACATTGTTTCTGCTCAAATTTTCTGATTTTGTTAACTTCTTCACTTGATATCTTTCTGATGAAACAAGCAAAAACAGGGGGCTCGCCATCAGGATTCTTATCTGATTTATTTCTACTGAAATGGATAGTTAAATCAAATATGATTAGGAACTTTAATTAAAGTTTTAGAACCTTTTCCACTAATCAATGAATAATGAAAAAAAGGAAACCATCAACTTTGAAAGGATAAAACGAAAACAAACCAAATATAATTTGTCATGATTAAAACACCGGGAACTTTTTCTTGACAATTCAGCCCAATTAGAAGCTGAAGTTACATTCATGTGAAACTTTTAGTAAACGTTCAACACAATGATAGTAATCATTCCTGAAATTTTTAGCTGAATTGGTTAAACTCTTCCTTGACTTCGCAACTTCTCAATTTCGGCATTTTTCAGAAGAGTCAGAGACTACAATATTAAGATAGTATCTCCGTTAGTTAATATACCATTCGGTACAGCATTCAATTCAGAGTAAAATCGTATGAAAGTCACAAATGATAGATCAATATTTCTTTAAAAAAAGACACATCCTCATGCAGGAATCATATTTACTCTACTACGAGATCTCTTGGACCTTTTGTTCTCTTGAATTTGGTTCAGGTCCAACGCCATTTTCCTAGGAACATCAGCAATTAATAAGTACTACAATATTACAAACACAATAGGATGAAAAACTCTGTCCTCATCTCATCATAAGGAACACAGTCTACAAAATTTAGACAAAAATACTAAACCACAAAAATTGTCGCCTGGACTCACTCAATAAACACTTCATTTTTTTTTCGTGCAAGAAAATAGAAAAGACCTAACGTAATTTAATTTGTTTTCAACTGAAAGATCCTTTTAAAGTGACACTAATTGAATACAATATAAGTCTAATTTTCCAAATTTTAAAGATAAATTTTAATTGTTTCATGTGTTTCTTCATCAATTCTCGAAAAACAGTGTCAATTGAAAAGTTTATGTTGATGAAACATAAAAGGCAAAAATCAGTTAAAACCAATCTTTAAAACTAAAAATTATTAGTGCATTCAGTACTGAACAATACTATTTAAAAATGTCACCGCAATGTAGGAGTTTGTTCAAAACATATGACCACACACTATATATGTTGTTCAACATCTGAACACTATACTAGAACAAAAGCAAAATTTACAGTTTTTCGAAAATTTTCTCCTTCTTTTGATAAAGTAGAGGAAAAATAGGAATTTTTATTGAAATATAGGACAAAAATAGGACTTTTTCAAAAATATAGGAAATATAGATCGAATCGCAGCCCTGAGAAAGTTCCTCTAGAGGGGCTTCCAAAATCACGAATACTACAAACTTCTCAATTTTCCATAAAAACCAATGATCGTGGAGCGCAATAGATAGCTCCGCGAAGGCTCCCTACTCTCCCTCAGGGATTTCGAAAATTTCGGAAAAAGTTCCCATGACTGACCGTGATCAAGCTCCAGTCACGGTCATGGTCACGATCTTTGAAAAAAGTCACGCCGGGCACTAGTGCTGCTGTACCTCAAGCTTCTGACAATTATTGCAAAAAAGGACCAATAAAAACGAAGAATCCCCAATATTGTGCAAAGATAGAGATGATCTGCATCAAGATAGTAGTCGTATATTCATTTCTTTATTGACTGGCTATATGAATTACTTAGGATAAGAATGTCACTAATATTCAAGCTATAATGATGTTTGTTTGACATTAGAAGAGAACCAACTGTATAAACGAAGTCGGTTATTAGAGATAGCCATCCAGTAAAAACTCCAAACGCTGCACCTTGGCGTATACTACTCCAAAGAGTTGGACACAATTCTCTGTGATATCCAATTGCAATAAAAGTAACATGTTTGATTACATTAAATTAGTATACTATTTGTATATG